TTCCAGACTGCATTTGTCTCTTGCCGAAGCTCAGACTCTGGCACAGGATCGGGAACGTTGGAAGCACTGTGTGACACGTCTGCCTCTGCGATCCGAAAGGAGAAGCGGCGATGGAAGATGAAGATACCGGATTGATGCAGCGTAAGCATCGGCCCTTTGCTTCTATCGGCCTGGCAGTTTGCTAGTGAACCCAAAAGATCAAGTTTCATTTTTCTGTATAAATACATCTACCGGTCATAGCGCATTAACAGGTTTCTAAGCAGGTCCTTTCTCGGTCATGTTTAGTGATGCGGTTTTGCATCCAGGAACCGCGGATTCTCAAATATCATGGAACCTTGACCTGTTTAAATGGATCTCTAGGGCGATAGAAGCAAGAGGTTAGTGTTTACTCCGCTTCAATCGTGTATAAACAACAAAACCAGAGTTTTTTCTCTTTGTCTTGCCGCTTATGAATATCGAAGAGAAAGATGAAAACGAACAGAGGTAGTTGAAGAGCAGACGGGTAGAGTAAGATGAACAGAGACACAGAGACAAAAATACACTGATCCCGTCGATCGACGTGAGCGGTCAGTTTTCCATGTGCAGTTTGTTCACCCTACTTCGATCTATTAAATAGGCATTCAGAATCCACTGTCCCGGCGATATGTCTGCTGTTTTGAGATGCTTTTATTTTTTGTTTTATACTGAACAATGATACGGTTCTGCATTCATGCAATGCCGATGTCTTACTAATTGGGGGCGTGATCAGACAAGCTCCAGCGTGTACGTTTCCCACCGAGTGCATCTGGCTTGTTGCCAGGCAGGATGAACCGAACTCCATTGCAAGCCGCCTGTGTATGTAGCTATGAACACGGAAATCTGTCGGTAGCCATTTGGCTGAAGCAGCAGCGTCTGCGGCAATCGACTGTAGGAGTGATGAAGAGTGATCTAGCGAGTTGGTCGACAAACGCGTTAAGGATAAAGGGGTACCGGCTTAACGTTGAGCAACCACATCTGACTCATCAGACTCTACAAAAAACTTTCCCACACTTGTTTTTTGCAGCATTGCAGTTTAAATGGAAGATTAGTAGAGCATGCTTTGTTGAGCACCCAAAAACCAGACATAAGACTTGGCGGTCGTCGTTGGAGCTATCGTTGCATGAATGAATTTCTGTTGATAAAAATTTTAAACCTCAATTACTTCTTCACCTCCACACTACATCGTCATTCACCGTCAGAGCCAGAAATGCGATTTAAAAAGTGCGCTGGTGCATTTCAAAAAATCATTTACTCAGAACAATACGACCAGCCATGTAAAGAAAATTCCACCAGTCAGCCAATTGCTTCAACATTACTGTCTCATGTGAAATTGGTTTCTTTCCTCACGAACCATTTAACAAATTGCAAAAAGGCATGCTCACTCCCTCAGAGTAGAACGGAACTATCAATATAAACTGAATTCAATTTCACTGCGTCAAATCCCTTAGGACATTCCTCCGCAATTAAACAGAGAGACTTCTCCTTTTTTGCAGTATAGCTACATAGCTGTGGTTATAACCTGCTAGACACCAGAAACGCGCGGAGGACAAATTCATAAAGGGGACATCCTATCCCCATCTCACAGGGGCAAGAGACAGACGGATTCTCATGGAATGAGTACATCTTTTCTAAGCCAAAATATTGGACAGATTTTCAAGAGCAGTTGTGGTTGGGGTGTTCCGTGCTCCGCCAATCTAACTTTGGCTCGATGATACCATCATTGGAGATAAAGGAGCTGAGACACCTAAAGTGGTCAACCTCCTGAACGGCTTCATGTCCCAGTCCCACTGTGCTGCATGGATTCGTCATAAGTGTCCACTTCCGGATGTCAAGGAAAAACCCGGCTTTCGCAGTTGTGTTGTATACAGAAGCAGTCGGGTGACAGAGTCCGCTTCCCGTACTACAGGTCAATAAGCACTAAATAATTTATAATAGAAGTATGACAGCGCCACCATGTGCAACAAGCATCTTGCAGTTGATCCTACAAAAGTACCACCGAGTATGAACCCAGCTCGCCGCAAATTGACTATGATTATTATAATCCCAATTGCATGAGCCACGGGGAAATAAAGTTCAGCAAAGTTGTACATGATTATTTTCTGTAATAGTGAGAGGCACTAAATAAAATTTTTTGGTCACTCGGATGATGGATGGCATCAATTTCGTTTCGAAGGTCTCTGCATGTTTGATGCTCCATCTGTGACATGTTTCTTAATTATTATCAGCTGTGGCAATTATTTAAGAAACTTTGCTGCTCGAGTCGATAATGTCCGGACCCAATCTTGGTCTCAGATGTTCATGTCGATTTTTGACTCTGTTTACAAAATGAGTTAAACAAAGTCCACAAGGTTTTTTTTAAATGGTTCATGAAGTATTTAAATCACTCGGTATATGACACAACATCGACTGACAAATGATTTTCTTCGGATCGATTTCCTAGTTAGAGTGTCATGGAGATTCAATTAAACACAAGTGCAATGCAGAGAGTCAGTCATATTCATTTTATCACCCACTTTCCGCTCTTAGGAACGGAAACGTAGTCAACATTGGGAAATAGGTCTTCCTTCACTTTCATGATTGGGCCTTTTGGCGCCCTAATTTTCATAAAGTTGATAATGCGGTTCAGATCGCCGTTTATCACGCCATCTGTGCTGATCTCCGCCCTTAAAACGATATAGCGACGCTGCGGGAGATCACCATACATCAGAACCTATTCTTACATAGCAGTCTAGTTTAAATCTTGAGCTATCATTCACCTCTAAGCGACATGGGAAAGGAAGACGACTGGTATGAGAATTTGAACATGTGTGAATGTGAAAGTATAGAAACCTTCAACTCCCAAGATAGATCGATATTTTCGTAAGCACTCCGTTTGTTGCTCGAAGTGCATACTGGCTGCTTGTGTGTTCATTACCGCATCGTTACAGCACACGTCTGTTATAATTATTTAGATTTAATTTTATTATTTGCTTATTGTGGTCATGGCTCCATTACACATACAGAATTCAGTCGCTCCCTCATGCGTAAGAAAAAAATCTAATGGCAAATGCAGTTCAGTTTCGCCTATTTCCCTGCGTGTTCCCTGTCACAGGAATCCGTCGATGAAGTCAACTACCTCCACATTTACGATCTTTGGTCGAAACCTCGAATGCTCGTCGCAGTTTCATATCGTTTCTTATGACATGGCGGCAACTCCATTTTTGTGGAGGTCTTCTTCTTATCTTTCTTAACAACGTTGGTACTTCGACCACTTTTCCACCGTAATCATCGCACCTTCTTTGTATGTGGTACAACCAAAGGAACCTGCCTTTGATAAACTTTCCGAAATTGGCACTACAACTATGGTGCCTTATGTAAAGGTATGCCGAATGTGGTCGTTTTTACCGACACCGCATATCCACCTGAGCGTTCAGATTTCTACGTGGTTCAGCTGTTGCTAGTATTTCTTCAGAGTAGCTCAACATTCCGCCTCGTACATAAGTACCGGTTTTACTATCGTTCAGAACACCTTCCCCGTTTAATTGACAGGCATCTTCTTATCGTACAGTACACTGCTCACCTCGTTTGATTTGAACTTCGCTTCCGGCAACCAGCTTTTTAATTTACTGTCGATTTCCCCGTGATATTGAAGGATGTAACCAAGGCATTTGAACTCTTGGATTTGAGGTAGCGTACTGCTTGCAACTTTTTCCCTTACTATCCAGCTTAATATATCTTCGGTATAACGTAAAAGGGCGATGCCTTTATTCCTCTAGAAAATGTCGTGCCAGTTGTGTCTGGCAGTAAAAAGAAAATTCAATTCCTTTTAGGTGATAGGTCTTCTGATTCCATGGTTGGCAGCACGAGAAACGAAATAATAACTTTATTTGCAAAAATTCCAACCCTTCGACCGAATTGGCATCGGGCATCTTGACGAAATAAAAGCAAAATGCTCGGTCGGACGGTTCTTCACCTGATTGGTTGGACGCTAGACCGATCGCTAATTAAGCAATGAATCATGCATGCTGGACGCTGTGGAAATGGCAATGGGCCAACGTTGCCGTTGTACGTTCTCCGACTCCTTGACGAACAGCTTCACTTTGTCCCGGTGTCCATCGACCATCATTGCATTGCTGTTGTTAAACTCATGACCACTGTCCAGGGCATTAGCAGCAAAACTAGAATCATCAGCGTTGCTGTGCTTGATAGTTCTCCTGTGCTCCTTTAACCTGGTTTTCTAACGCTCGAAAGATTTTGCCAATATTGGTCACAACTATTTCAAGCTATCTAATAATATCCACGTTTTTACTCTTCAAGTTGGGGCGAGTATCAAGTTTCTTGTGTAAGAGGTTTCCTAAAGTTTTGCCTCCGCTGAGAAATACATTAAGGTCGTAGTTTCAAATGTCATCTATATCGTTTAAATGCCGTCCCTTGTATATGTCCGTTATATATGGTATCTAAATTGGGAATTGCAATCCAAAATGGCGGGATTAAATTTTTGATTTTTAAATACAAAATCAATTAAATATTTGGCATATCCATTTTGAAGAAAAGCAGACGAAAGTGCTTCATTTCACCGCTGAGAAGTCTATCTTCGGTGCAGTAGCTCAAAGCGCTATGACGCATGCATCTCTTGGCGTTGATGAAGACAGATTTGAGAGTGTATAATGAAGTGTTAGGATAACGGAGAGTGCTGTGGTTTTCTTTATACTGTGAAGGAAAGTGTACCCGTGGCATTTCATATAATGAGAGTGTCAAAAAACGCCATTTGGTTATTGCATTCGTACTCTGAACTAGATTTCATAAGGGTATTAGTAACTTTGTTATTTATGCAGTAGATGAAAATGATTAGAATTTTTATGCAAAATGAAAATGCCATTAATCATCATCATCTTCCATCGCCGCTGCTCCTTTCGGGTCGCGGAGGCGACACGACAGATAGAGCTTCCAACGTTGCCGATCCTCTGCCAGAGTCTGAGCTTCGGCAAAACACAGCTGGAGTCTGGAACAAACTCCTTCCATATATTTGCACCAG